TATGGTAATATTGTTTGCCATTATATTCCTCGGTGTGGTGAAAAGTATAGTTAATAAAATGCACTGTCACCCCATATTACCCTGCAAAAGTCACAAGACATCTCTGTGTGGATCAGTTGATCCAGTGACTGACCTGTAAATAAATTCCTCTGCCCTGCTGAAACTGACACTCAGCACAGGAGGATGATGTAAGTCCTGTTCATGACCGGGGAGATAACACGACAAATATCTATGGATCACTGCAAAGCAGGAAACAGCAACCTCATCTTGTGGGTTACCAGACACCCCCTTCAACACAACAGCCAGGAACACATGAAATATTTACATTTGATGACCAAGGGGAAAACGAGGCCTCCCGTATGAGCCCGGCAAATGTTAGCAAGTTATCTGCTTGGAACGTGAAGTAACACATTTTCCTGTGATCTATCAAAAGCTATCATTAAAAGAGAATGTTTCTCTAATCTAGTTGCTTAGCCCTCAAATCCCAGAGTAAACCAAAGCACAGGCTTGAGGAAGAAGGCAGTTCTATGTAATCCCTACACCAATTGGCTGTTTTTGAAGGAAGAAGTTCAGTGTGGTGACTTTCATCTGGACCCCATCAGGTTGCATGTCCCCAGGCAGTTAGACTGGTATCTCTGTACCAGGCGTGTTCCTTTATTAAAGCCTTGGCCTCCTCTGACCCAGCACACACAGTGCAGGCCCCAGGGAATACAGACACGCGTTTACACACACACACAGTTCCCACAGGCCAGTGTAGCGGTTTGCGAGTTTAATTCCTTCATGGACCACATATGGACTTGAGTTTAAGTAACTGAGAGTGTGGTGATTTTCTTTGTAAAACATCTGCTTAATGATGGTGTACCAAAGAGGAGGGGTCATTATTCCCACAGTGAGGCCAAGCAGAATCAGGGACATATGATATGAATAAAGTGAATTTCCACAGTGGAACTTGTTAATGTGATACAGAAAAATGGATCGGACCATACTGCCAATCCACCTGCCATAAAGGTCAAAATTATAGCAAAATGGGCCAGAATTGACTTCAACAACTCACCACTGGGGTGGAATTGCTCCACTTGGCATGCAACAAAAAATAAGAACCTCTAACTTATATTGATATACCAACAATATAACTCCTATGTTCAAATAAGTGCTACATTTTTTGACAGGGCTGTCAAAAAATACGATTCAGATTCAGCCGCCAAAGACTCCAAACCGGCCCACAGGAAAATGTAAAGACGTTGGACTTCTCATTGCATTTTCAGTTTTTCTTTCACGGCTTTTCCTCCTGATAAACACATACCCTGTGGTCATTCATACTAGACTATAGTAAGTAATAGATACATATTTAAATGACAGAAACATTCCTGTTTTTTTTTTACTATCAGTCGTAGAAATTTCTAATTTTTTTATAGGGGGTCACTAGTAAAGAAAAAAAGTGAATTTTCCAAAGTTTTGTTATGTCAGGACACTATAGGAAATTAGTTTCCTTAACTTTTTCTTTAATTTAACATGTCTGTTTCTTACAATTTAAAATTCATGCTGACATCTCTTCCATTTACGACAGCAGCATTTCTTTATCATGTAGAAAAAGAGAAATGAACTGTTGATAATAAAGGGCTAATTTATTTTTTTATTAAACTGCTTTACACTGACAGACTGACTGGTTTGGCACACTTAAGGTCAAAGTGAGCTGTTTGTGGCCTGTGGTCCAAAATGAGTTTGACATTGCTGTTTAAAGATGATTACAATATTTAATTAGAAATAAAATCAGAGTAGAAAATTGGCAAAGAAAAACTTTGCTAGACTTATTATGTGTAAAGTGGCCAGACTTTAGGCACGTTTTGCTAAGTGGAAAAAAGTATTCCAATTTTTTTTTTACTTTCTAGAAGACAGAATTCTATTTAAGTAGTTTAATAGTGTGTAAGCTGTAAAATATAATATAAATATAAAATCTATTCAGTATTTATATTATCTCAAATAAACATACTCAGGATGGAGAATTGTACTTTTCAGAATCATAAACATATTATAGCATAATTATTGATTAACTGATGTGTATTAATTGCATCCCTGTGCTGCTTCTCCTGGAGGTTTCTTCCTGTTAAAAGGGAGCTTTTCTTTCCCACTGTTGCCAAGTGCATGCTCAGAGGAAAACATACGCAAAAAATGTAAACACAGAATGCTAATTTAAATAAAAATGCATTAACCTTTTAAAGTAAAAGGGAAACATTTTGAAATATCAAATAGTGTTTCACCTAGAACACTTCCAAAAGTAAGTCTACTTGTGATACACAAATATTCTGCTTTGAAGCCCATGTTGCTCCAGTTTACTAATATTGCAGCTACAAGTAATACTGTTTCTGTGCTTTCTTTCTAGTACAAATGTTGGTCACTGAATAATCAGCAAGTGTGATTATTGTGTCATCTTGTCCGTTGTATGGCCCGATTTTTAAATGTGAAATCTAAAACAAATCAGAGTAAAGAGCCACCTGATGTGCTTTGTCAGTGCAGAAACAAAAGAGCCGTATCATGTGAAAATGTTACGATTACATGGTAAAAACAATAAAATGAATCTCTTCCATGTGTGTCACCTTGATTCATTTTGCTTTTTGGCAATTGGAGCTGTGTGAAATCAAATCTCCTCTAATGCGTTTAAATTTCCGGTATTTGTTTTTATTGTAATTATGTTTTTACTTTTGAGAATAGTGTAAAAACAGAGCTAGAGCTACAGCCTGTAGGGAAGGATCAGAAGAACATTTGTCTGTTCTATTATTTTTTGTCTTGAACTTTGAAATGCAATTCGGGGAGATAGATCTATAAAGATAAAACTAAATGCTAAAGCTGTAGATCGAGGAGAAGAGATGAGTCTGTCTCCAGGCCCTGGAAATCTCACTTATATTGCATTTAGCTGGAAAAGAAAAAGACAGTTATGGTTGTGTTTACAAAGAATTTGCTCCTTGGCCTCTAAAGAAATCCTCCAAATCTTATGAGTCTGTCAACATCATTTGAAGCCTACATCCCTCTGAGGCATCCACAGATGACAATCATGTTAGACCTGTAGGTATTTCTGCAGCGTTTTAGACTGTTACATCTCTAAAGGTTTAACAGCATTTGAAAATGTAATGCACGCTTTCAATGCGAATTTTGGGGGGGGATTATTAAATGCATAAAGTGTAAAACTGGTCTTAGCTGTAAGTGAAATAATCTACAAGCTTGTATATTACCCCTTGGTAGCATTTAAATTTAGTATGTCATTGTCTAATTAGCAGGACATACAGTATTTATTCATATATTCTGCATCATTTAAGTGCTTCTAAGTTGTTTGAGCCAATCAGTGGAACATTTTCATTCATCATTAAATTTAATACATTGTAGATATATGCAAATGTACATGGAATTATTTGTGCACATGTCCTTGATCCCCTATGTCCACTACGTGGATTCAGGTTATCACAGAAGGAGCGGACGCCACAAAGGAACTGCTGATAACACTGTTTTGTTTGCAACCTCAGATAAAACCAAGACCAGAATTGAAGCCAAACTGCTTCTCTGGCCATGGACCGCTGACAGACATTAAAGCAGGCCCTAAAATTGAGGACTTAAGGGAAAAAAAGCTGGGACCAGGAAATATGCTGACATTAAAAAGAAGAGGATCAGGGAAAATAGATAAGAGTCCCAGCAGCAAATTTTGTTTATCGTGCTGGATTGTTAAAATGCTACTTTATGGTCCTTGATAATGGTTAACCTCATAATAATCTGCAAAAGCTCAGCTAGTTTTGATTTTATGTCCAAAACACACACAACAGACAATCAAACAAAACTCGTAACACTTGATATATTGTGATCTGGAGTTTCAGCATCGATGTGCTTCGTGAGACGACTGACCGTCCCTAATATTTTGCACATTCACTGCACATATTCTACATTGTTGCCTAGTCCACTATGACATTGTCCATTCTGTCCCTGTCTTGCCTTTAGGAGCAAATAATGCTTCGTAAGACAGTCTTGTTGGCTGATGTCCACTATGACACCTGAGTCACAGAGGAATAGAGGTCTGGTGAGTGAAACTGGAGAACTTCATTGCATTACAGCACTGCAGGGGAGATAACACTCTACGATAAAGTGCCTTGAAGGAAGAAGAGAGGCATTAGAAAGATGGTAGTGATAAGGCAGCATCCAGACTTGTAACTTAATATGATTTTAATCTGTAGAGGAGGAAGGACACTTGTCAGGATTATCACCTTAATGAGGAGGAAGTGAATTCATTTTCAGTTTGTAATACTTATCTGCTTCACACTCAATTATACAGCCCTTTGTAGGCCCCCTTTTTACATCTAATACACACAAAAAAACTCCTGACAGATCTTTCATTAACCAATAAACCAATCACCAGTGTAATCTGTAGCTGTAGGGAAAGATCCAACGCCACCAGGCAGCTTCTTCCTGGTTCGTAGCATCTATGAAGGTAAACCCCCTTTATCACCTCTCACCCACTCTCATAAGTTAGACTTGCTTGTACATAAGCACCACATCGACACACATGCAGACCAGTACTTGTTCCCATATGTGAGGAGGGGCGTGGGAGGGTTGAGTAAAGGAAGGAGGGATCAAATAACTAAGAGTCACACACAGCTACACACGACATAAAGTCATTTTTCAGTGATCAATCTTCAGTGAGGAATTCTCAAATAAAGTAGAAGAGGTGAAAAATTCTGACTCAATCCAGCCAAAAAAAAAAAAAAGAGACCTCCCCAGACCGTTACCTCGATGCTGTGTGAAGGTGGAGTCATGGGGTGGAGAGAGAGAGAGAGAGAGAGAGAGAGCTAAATGAGGAGAGAGCGAGAGGAGCTGGGCACCCAAAGAGGACAGATATTCGCCTGGACTGACCAACCTTCCTATTTAAGTCTTGAATCCTGTTTTTCGTCCTCAGAGTAAAATCTGGAAATGTTTTCCTGCACATGTGGAGTTTAGCAGCTTGGAACAGGTAAATGGTGTGGTGGCACCATTTTTTCTTTTTTTTTTAATTTCAGTGGAACTAAAGACTTTTACCAGATTTTAGATACCTTTCTACATGGATACTATTACATTTTCTCAACTGGATATTTGTTTTTATTAGTTTTTTCTTATCTTTTTTTTCTTGTTAAGTTGAAAAGCAGTCTGGGACTAAAAGGCTTACACCGGAGCCCCTTTGAGCAAGAGTTAAAAGTTCACAAACAATTTAAGAAGAATTAGTAAAACTGTGGAAAAGTGCAGGGAACAAAAACAGGTTTTCACCAGAATGCACACATAGTCTGCCTGCTTTTTTCACTTTCTTTTCTTTTTTTCTTTAATCTTTGTTCATTTAGACTGAGATGTTTTCCAAAACAGACTTGGAAGTTTTGATAACCAGCATAAAACCTTGCAGCAGTAGAGAAGAGAACGGAGTGGAGTACCAGCTTGGAAAATAGAGACTTACTGAAATTACATAATCAAAAAAAAATCACCCAGAAGGATATCTTGACATTTTTATACCTGCGCTGAATAGTTTGGACACTGTGCAGGGACACCTTCACTCTGGTCTGTGGAGGGCTTCCCTCCCTGCCTTCTCAGGCAATCTTCACCCCCAGCAGCATGTCCCAAGCTCCGAGGCTGCCTCTAGTCCTCCTCACAGCACACTACCATGATCAGATGGACTGCTGGAGGGAGTAAGGCTGCCTCTGCCTCGTCCTGCTCCAGGGCTGGGTTAGGGGCTCGTTCAGGCTCTGGGGCCACCTTCAGACTACGGTCATCAGCACTGCTTATCACCCCGGCTTTTCCTGTACTAGTCACCCTGTTGGTTTTTTTATTATCCCTGCATGAGGCTGCCTGCCATCAGTTCCACCGTGACACAGATAGGGTCTCCAGCCCACGGACTCTCAGAGCTCCAGTGAACATTTCTGAAGCTGAGCTGATCTCTAGAGCCAGAGCCAATGGGGGCCCTGTGGGTCGGACTGGGGGAGCACAGGGGAGGCATGTGCGCAGTTACAATCATCTACTAGGGGACATACGAAGGAGAAAGCTGTTCTCTTTCCAGAGGTTTTTCCTGAGGATCGATAAGAATGGAAAAGTCAATGGAACCAAAATCAAGGACGACCCCTTCAGTAAGTAACCCTTTCAATTAACAAAAGTAGGTAAAGAAGAGTGAATCAGAGCCAAGAAGTGATCTGTGTGACCCTATCCAAGGCTCATTTAGCCTGAAATATTCGAATTAATTTTACCTTTTAAATTGTGAGTGTGATATCAAATTTTTAAGCTCTATAGCCCAAACCTTTGCCTTCGTTTTGTATTAGTATATCAAATGTGACAAAAGCACCTGATGAAGTCTTTAAGTGGGACATTTCTAGTAACAAGAAACCATATTAAATGAGAACTTAGATCCTGACAGTTTATTTAAAACATACATTTACATCTTTCTGTCTGTCTATCTGTATCTATATCCTATGTAACACCAAAGTAAATATGTAGATTGTACCTATAGAAATATAACTTGTGCTGCTACCTGTAAATGGTGAGTTTAAAGGAAAAACGTGATCCTTTCATGTTACGCGAATGAACCGGTTGGCAGTTCATTCACTGGTAGTTTGGAGGAAGTAATCCTAATTTGAGTTGTCTTTTTGTTTTAAACCAGACATCCCACTGATATCTCTCCTGTCTAAACACTCAGCACAATGATGGTAGCTCTCAGATGGTCTAAAAAGGAGCAGGAGCAGATAACCCAGCCATTATCAGGCAGTCTTCACAGCCCAGGGTAAACAGCATTGATAACATCCATAGAAAGAACAGGGCTGTGGCAGGGGGAGGATATGAATGTCCAGCTCATTGATGCTTTTAGACCCTTTTTGCTTCTCTTCGGCTGTTTCGCTATGACTCTCCCACTCAGATTGCCTTCTGCCCGCCAGCATCACGCAAATTACACACCCTCAGTCACAGATCAGACATTTGTTTAAAGCAGCTTGACGTCCTCACTCAGAGAAACATGTCTTTAAAGTGATTACATGTTGTATGTTTCAGTGTATAAGTCAGTAAAATAGCATTCTCATTAGTCTCCCAGCATTCCCACTGAGCAACGTGTGTGTGCCTATCAACCAGCAGGCAATCACATGGTCCGGTGGGTGTGATCTTATGGTACCCAACAGCAGCACATGTGCTCAAACAAACACACACACACACATATATCCCACTTAGTTGTTGTTATATACCTTTTTTTTCTCTCTGTTTCGCAATTCCATAGTAAGTGTATCCCGAAGTTTTAACGTTCCTCTTGGGAGAGCTAAACCGCACTTTCAATCAAAGTGACTTTGGGGGAAATGGCACAGGAGGCAAAATGTCAGGGGAGATGTTTGTTTTGACAAGGTCATGACAGAAGCAGCTTTATTTCGTGACCATATTACACTGTGATGCCTTTACTGTTGCTTTTGTTAGCAGTTTCCTTTAAGTAGTAAAACTGAAGTGGTGCAAGGAAGTCTGGTGTAAAGTCACTCTAAAGTTTATGTATCTTTCTGAGATAATTTATCCCTCTGTCTTCCTTTTTACTGACCCACAAATCCACTTCCCCCAGTGCATTGCTTTTTTCAAAGGTAAGTCTGAATTAGCAATGAATTGAGGTTCAGGCAGGGAGGTGAAAGTGAGATTCTCTAGAGGTACAAAGTCATGAATGACATGCCTGAATATTATTGTGGCCACATCAAAGCCGTTCATCTTCAGTATATCAATGGTGGTGCCATCACAAAGCTGTGTCCTAAGGGGGTCTGGGGACACTGTATGGATTATGTGCCCACATATCAGGTTCACATGGTAAAGAATACTACACAACAGCAGCTTCAGTCTTCGCTCTAGCCCCTGAGGCTAGACATGATCCCTGGACTGACGTCCTTTGTAGACCCTTGATGATCCCTTGAAGTGACAAAATATCACATTTTCTTTCCAAGTACTGGAAAAAAGTTTTTTAAAATCAGAAATTGAAATGCAAAGGCACCCTACATTTAAATTTGTCAAACTTTAATTAATTAATCTAAATTAATTTATCTGCAAGCTGTTTTGGGGGGGCTCCCTGTGGCCCTGCAAGGAGCAGCATGCCTCCCACAGATTTATGGGGATGCCAGTGCAAAACTGTCCCACATGGTTTTCCAACCCACTGTGAGCCTTTGCTGAGGTTACAGAGAAGCAAGGAGAAAAGGAAGGCAGACTGTGTTAAAGTCAGCTAAGTAGCTGCGTGGCCTAAGCACAGCAGAGCCGTCTTAAAATTTAAAGACATTTAGCAGCTCTGAGTAAAACATTGCTAAACAAGACTCAGGGAAAGGCTTTGTGGTAATAAATAAATAAATAAAGTCTGGCTAACTATCCATGGCTGTGATGGTGTGAAAGGTTGAGCATGTAAAGACTGTATGTATACTTGTATTGGGCCAGTGTGTGTGTCTATGTGTGTGTGTCTCTCAAGAAAGAGGAAGGCTAAAGGAACCAGGCCATGTGCACAAGACAGTTCTTGGCATATCCTGTGAATATTGTATAAATAATTTCTTTAAATATAGCAGCGACCTTTTACTTGGAAAAAAAAAACCCAGATGGTGCTCTTATGGAGGTCTGAGGAGGGAGATGTAGCCAATAGCTTTTCTCAAAGGTAGTAAAAAGGTTCCTTTCCATGTAAATACACTGAGTGTGGTCCTTATCAAGTGTTATTACTATATTTCCTGATTTACGCCTCACTCTGTTCTATTTTTCTGCATGGAAATGATAACAATCAACATTTTAATCCTGACTTATCTGCCCAAATACTGCTTTATTCAAAACCAGAACATCTATTTTGAAAAAAAGAAGTTTAAGAGTGAGAAAGAATAACAATGCTAAGCTGCAAAGCACATATTCTTTTGGCTCCCCGCTGTGGAAAAACCACTGCTAATTCTTACTGGCAACATCTACCTCCATTCCACAAACAACGCACCATTTACTGCTGTAACTCCCACCAGAGCGTATCGAATAAGCCACACATTAGGCGCAAAAAGCTTGCAAGAGAAAAACTGCTGAACCTGGCTGGCTTACTTTAGGCTACATTTTAAAAGGGGTTTGTAAAATAAATCCCATACGAAGCAATACTATCCCATTAACAGCGTAAATAAAGCTAAACGATGAGCACATTTTCCCACATTGGCAGCCATGACCTTATTACTTCCCTATTGTGGGTCTACATAAGCATTTAGCCTTTCAGCACAGAGCAGTGTAGGGAGATTTTGTAGTAGTTTCACAGCCAAGCTGAGTTAGTGTGTTATATGCAAGTGCACATTCACCTGCTTCAAAACAACTGTGCATATGTGTGTGTATGTGTGTGCTTTTCCGTGTGTGTGAGTGAGTTAGTGAGTGAGAGAGTGCATTAGTGCATGTGTGTATATACAACCTGTCTCGCCCCTGCCTCCGGTGGCTTACTTTGATCAGTGATCATTACGGCCTTTCTAATCCTCACTCCACCCCCAGTCTCACTGTCATGGCTCCTCTGTCCTCCTCTGTTCTCCTTCCTTTCATCACTCCCATGTTTACAGAGCAGCCAGAGACTGCCATAGATTGTCTTACATCCTCACTCCATACCCGACATCCGATCCCATACAGAAACCAGCTCTTCTCAGATCTTCAATGACCGTTGTGTCACAGTCCCCAACACCGCCTTGCAGCTTCAGACCCCACTGCCCTGAGGTGCCGCTGTTTGAACTAGAAATTGATACAGTCAAGACCTCATGGACGAGGAGAGAAGCTGCTGTATATTTAACAGAGGGATTGTTCTTTTGGGCACACCTGCATCCTCCGCTGTCCACTCAGGTCCAAGGCTGGCAGCCTCCAATCCCCCCCCCCCCCTCCCCTCCCCCCAGCCAGTTTGGAGCGAGTCTGACAGTAGAGCAGGGTGCCACACAAACAGTCATCAGACAGAGGAGGGGCCCCTGGTCTGATCAAAGGATGTCGTTGACTTTCTGGAGTTCACGCCCCCACTCTGTGTGTGTGTGCACATACACATATGGGTGTTAATTGGGGTAAAATGACAACAGCTCACAGGAAGTGGGAAAAGGAAGGTAGGGAGGGCGGCATGAAATCAAACATCCCATGGGAAACAGTGGGGTTCACTAACACACACACACACACACCGGCATGAGATGAGACAAGTGGGTTCTGTGGTCAAAGGACACATTAGGAAGTTATAGCTCTCCGACCTTTGATACTGAGACCACACAAATAACAACAGCTGTCTACAGCAAAAACACATCCATTTTAGCTGAGGTATAAATTAACCTCCCCTAATAGTTTACAATAAACCTGACGTATTTGCACAGGGACCTGGAAAGCTAAATACCAAACTCAACATAAACAACCCGAGAAATCTCCGGGGGGAATCCACCCATTAATCTTCAGACTAAATGACCTGAGCAGCTGGAATCTTTTATACAGGTGTAGGCTGTAAAGGAACTTTAAAATATCAGAAATGAGAAATGTGCCCAAGAATAATTGTAACCTTGCACAGAAATCCCACACATTCCCCATGTAAATGTCACAGAATACAAATGCTGGTACTCATTATACTATTACTGAAAAACCTGTGGATTCCTCCAGGTTTATATCTGCACTTCATGTGGGTGGTTTGTGACCGCTGCCAGAGTGTTAATTCTTCTATACTCTGCTCCACAGCATTTATTCAGTTGTTCATGACATAATAGCATGCCTACTATTAATGTTGACACATATTAATGTCACCTTCTTTTTGCTGATCCCTAGGTATTCTGGAAATCACATCAGTGGACGTGGGAGTGGTGGCCATCAAAGGGCTAAGCAGCAACTTCTATCTGGCTATCAGCAAGAAAGGAGAGCTGTACGGAGCGGTTAGTATCCGAGTCAGAGGTCAATCTGGAAGCTCCAGAGAGAGAGAGCTAGTGTTAGCTTCTTCAGTCCTTATCAAAGGAAGCCTTATCTATAGTTCTACAACTGCTGGGTCAACTCTGAATCACAACCAGACCAGTGCACACATGTGAACCACTGAGAAAACTATGCAGCTTTAAAAACGCGCACAAATCACCCACACAGAAAAGCATGCAATGTAGATTCGGAAGTAGTAAATAGGCACTCAGACAACAATGCATTTTGCACAAGATAATAATCTGCGTTTTGTCTTAACCTCACACGCTAAGTCTATAACACTGCAACATGATACCTGCTTTTTTACAGAGAGAGTTTGGTGTCGACTGCACCCTGAAGGAGCGGATTGAGGAGAACGGCTACAACACGTACGCATCAGCCAAGTGGAAGCATGGGAAGCGACAGATGTTTGTGGGTCTGAACGGCCAGGGGAAGCCGATGAGAGGAAAGAAAACCCGAAGGAAGAACACAGCCACACATTTTCTTCCAACTGTTGTGTGAACCTGTGCACTCGGCTGGAGAGGGACAATATGAAACTCTGAAAATGTGAGGTTTATAACTCTGAAAAGTGAGAAATCTCTCATTTGATTTTAAAAGAAAAAGGCCTAACACTGTCATGCATACAAGTGGTCTCTTCTTTTCTGGGAGATGGTGTTACCTGTGTTTTCACTGGCACAGATGCAATGCTTATTCTTTTTTTTTTTTTTGTCTGTGCCAAACAGTTTGCAGCTGGACTAAGTGTGTGATGTGGACACAACCGAAGCTACTGTTTCACTAAATAAACTGTAGTAGATGCAGAATTATCTCAAGATGTTATTTATATCCATATTCTCCTGTGAGACACATAAACAGAACAGAAAATGTTCAGGATGTGGGAAACAATCAGTGAGTCCGTTTATCACGGCAGCAGGAAATAATAAAGGATAGAACACATTTAAAGCAAATGTTCGATACTTAACCACTGTGTTTTTGCCTGAATTGTAATGATTTATTTATTTTGTGAAATATTTAACTGAAGGGGAACACAAGCATTTCTTTGAATTCTTTTTGTTTTATAAGAACTCTATTATGTGAAAAATAAAAGTACCATTTCTCCCCTGCAATGCAGTGAACGTTCCTCTGTGGTACTCCAAAGACTGGGAGAAGTGCATTAAAAATGGTAAGGTTTACCAGAAGTACTGAGAGACCCTGGTAAACGTTCAAGTCATGGTATTCTTATCTGGGTCTCTGAGGTAGGAAAGAAGGGACAAAAGGCAACCATTAATTCCTAGCCAGATATACCATGTGGCAACCATTGCACTAATGATTAGTGCACAAACAAACTGAAAACACAAGACCAACCACAACAAAATGGGAGGGGGGAAACTCCCCTGGTATGGACTGTAGATGTTGACATCATTTTCTAATATCAGACCATTACTGTGGAAGCTGCAACCTTCTCCAACTGCAAAAAGACTTGCTTGGTAAAGATAGCTTGTTATGAATATAAAAATTGCTGCCCATGGGTTTGTATGGGCTTTGGAAGAGGATCTGAATGTATGCATGTAAGAAAGGAAATACAAAAGAAGTGCATAAAAAATATATGACCTGTGCCTGACCACCCACTTCCTTCAGTAATCATCTACACACTAATCATAAACACACTAATCAATGGCAGCTGCCTCAATCCCAGATCAAAAGAACATAGGAAGAACATTAACACCACAGGCTTCCGGACCTTGTGTTCTCTCATCCTGCCTTTTAAAACAACTATCTCTGGATGGGCATCAGAAATTGGAAGATTATAGGAAGACAGCTGAGAGAAAGGCTTCAGAAGTTTTCCTTTGTCTTCAGTCCTAAATTCATTCAGCTTGGTGAGTGAAAAGAGACCGGAAGGAGTGAAAACAACAAAGGCGGTCTGATCTATAGCCTTAGTATATTGTCCTTTAATGGCTGTTACTGCGCTGAGTGATTTATACTGAGGAATGCTGCGGTGCATTCCACCAGTAAAGACCAACCGAGCACATCTCTGCACCCTGCATGGCCCTGTGTGCTCTCACAGGTTAATTGAGCAATATGGTGTGACTATTGAACCTCTGAAGCCAGACTCACAATAGTGTCTTGAAGATAAACTATAAATGTTACCTAAAAATAAAGATTAAGAAGGTGAAATTAGGGTGCAACTTTTGAACAAATACAAATACATACATACATGTCTTGATCCCCAACTTCATCCAAAGACTTCAAATGTTTTAAAGGTGATTCTGAATTGACTCAAACCATATTTCTTTATAAGAACTAAAGCACGGATATGCACTAGGAGTTTAATGACACCACATACAGTAGCATTTTCTTTCTTGATTTGTCCTTAATTGCTGTGCATGAGGAGATAAACATGCAGTCAAATAAATAACAGAGGATTTGACCTACATAATGTGTACTGCTGACCCCAACCCCCACTGACTTACCCACACACAAACACACACAAATCCAATTCATTTGTCATCTTCTGCATTCCCTTGTGAATGTTTGAACTCTCTCCAAAACACTGGCACGGCGAGGGAAAAAAACGGCAATAACACAAAATAGGCACAGTAATCTTCTATCAAAGCAGGTCTCTGCATTTCTGGCACTGGAATTCTCTGTGGAATAATGTGATCCAGCTTTGAGAAACAAGTGGAAAATGACTGGAGGCTAAAACAACTAATGAATACTTACACCGAGATGTCTGGTAGAACACATGTTTGCAGCGGGCAGCTACTGAGTGAGCTTGGGAGAGGCACTTCTGAGGGGGTTGTTCAGGTTCACAGCCTTTCCTCTTTCCTCTGAGATGGATAAATAATTTTCTAGCATTTTAGATCAACATGAGGCCCTTCAGCACGTGCTTATTGTGTGCAGACAACCACGTTGTGACCTCAGTATTTATTTGGAGATAGTCTTTTTTTTAAAAACAAACAAACAAACAAACCAAGCATGAGTTTATGTGCAATGAAAATTTTCATACAAAGTTTTGGAAACATTTTTTCTCTAAATGCAACTGATGCTGAAAACAAAACTGCAACTAATTATAGATAATTAATTAATGTCTACGAAATTTCAAACATCATCACCTGAATTCCTGGTAATTATCAGAAAAAGAATTTGTCGTGGAACTTGAAGCCTGATGTGGATTTTTTTTCAGTACATATCAAATCTGATGGAAAAAAGTTAAAAGATATTCATATTTCACACAATCCTTCTTTTAGTATAAAAAGAAAACATGTCCAATTTTCGTACAACAAATTGGACACTGTGCACCTCTACATTCAAAAGCATAATCGCTTATGAATGCGAAGATTTCTCCTATAATTTGTTAGCATTTTTGTCATAGTCACATTAATATACTGGTAGTATATTGTGTTCATTTTATTACAAATATAAGCAAATAATAGGATTACTCCCTCTACTAACATTTTCACTGTTAACTAGAATTAAATTGAAAACTAAAACAAAGCGTGACAAAACATTTTTGTCATTTGAAATGAAATTTAATAAAAAAACCTGTAGTCTAACTAAAACCATATGCAGCTCTTTTTAAGTTTTGTCAGAGTTTTCAATCCATCATACATGAGGAGTGTAACAGGGCAGCCTTTCACAGCTGGATTTACAGTGAGAGGTATTTTTTCACCATATAGCTCTCAGGACATGACAATCACTCACATGTTAAGCCTTCCCACAAAACAATCACCCTGTCTTATGGCAGCTGGCAGCCTTAAATACTCTCAGCTGTCACAGGCTAAACCATTATTCCATTAACAGGTGAGTTCTCAAATCCCAACCTTCCACCACATTATATCATCAGTTTCAATAAATACATATAGACATACATTTTGAATATGTATCGAATATGTAAATGAATAAATATTTTACATTTTACCCTTAAACCTTACCATTATTATAGAAACACCAAAACCCCAAGATCAAAGATTCCCCACACTCCCTTGACCAATGGCCTCTCCTGGTACCGTTAACTGGTATCTGGACACCTGGGGAAACATTTGCCCAAACATCCTGGAGAGCACAGAGGAAGGGAAGGTGAGTCATCACATCTCTGTAAGTCACTTCTTTGTACCGCCTTTACCTCTAGACCTTGCACACATTTGCGTTAGTTCTCCTTACCTTTTGCTTAGTAACAATTCTTTTCTCCTCACAGACAACCGCCACATTTCTTGATGAGGAGCAGCTGTGCAGGACCTGGAACAAAGTCTACTGGCTAATTATTAAAATACTCAAATATTCAATAAATAAACTTCTTGTATGCAAATGTTATTGATGTGCTTAAAATGCTACGCTAAATAAAGTGCAAGTTAAGGTGTTTTCAATAAAGTGAAAGGTAGTCCTAAAGTGCTGTACAACTTAATACAAATAATTGTAGGAAGGGGGAGTCTTCCTTACAAGGAGATTATCATATTTAAAATTTTGTATAAATATCTGCATTTAAACGAGTTTGTCTTTGTAACTCCTATTACTAATGCTAACATTAATATTAATAATCCTTACAAAATTTAACAAAACTTGACAAGTGGAGGATGAAAGAAGGGATAAATAACATATGATAATTCTAGAGCAGATGAAAAGCGTCTGAAAATCAGGTAATTAAGAAACCAGGAAAAATCCAGCAAAGACCTGACACAGGAACAAAGTGATCCATCTGGCCCTTCAGTTGATCCAAATACTGCTCATCGAAGCCTCATCAGCAATGGTCTCGGTGCTTTCTGGAGCACATTCTTAAGAAGGTGAAACTGGGAGAGAAGGTTCAGGCATGTCCAACAGATCTGATGGAGTAATAAATCCAAAAGTTGAAATTTTCTTTTAAATTGTCATCAATATGTAAAGAGGAAGACCAAAAAGGAACATATCAACTGAAAAGCATCTGATTGGCAGCGGCTCCATTTTTAGGATGACGATGACCCCCAATTGCTTCTAGCTTTGAAAATCCATCATGAAGTCTGGAGAAATATTCCTAAAGAACACTTAAAGAAGTCTTGCTTAAGAGCGTTCGTGTTGTGTGAAGAATACAGCTGGTGGTGCCAAATATTAAAATAATAAATATATATTCCAAGCAGAGTTGTGCGAATTTAGTTTTTCTCATATAATGGATTTTCATTTAAATTTGCAGATGTTCCATAAATGTTAAATATACGTTTCAAGGCCTTTGTGCAGTAATCCATTCAAAAAATACATTACTGTTTTTAAGCGTTAAACGATCCCGTGCAAGACGGTATTTATTTCAGCGCCCACTTCCACTCCGTGCCACTAGAGGGAGGCAGATTTTTTTATTCTGGATAATCAGTGACAGCAAGTTTGTTGTTAAAGGAAGTGGCCGAAAAAGTTATGTAGCATTACACACTGATACTATCCGATAGAGAAAAGGCCACCATGAAAGAGAGATAGGACGCGTTTTACAGTAAAAAAAAAACAAAAAACAAAAAAACAAGCACTTGCCGCTACGCACGGAAAACGGCAGCTGGAAGGGCGACCGGAACATCTTCGTTTATATCAGATGCTGTATTAAGAGCCGAGGCTGACACCGAGCAGTCATGAACGAGAATTTCGACCGAGCTCCCGGAGCAGGGAGATCCCGTAATTTTCCAGCAGACCCCGGACTCATGACAGGCGCTGGGGACGCTGACAGCAAGACCCCGCTCTTCAACCAAAGAGAGCCGCTGAGACAGCCGCGAACAACTCCTCCTTTTACCGAGAACAGCATTGGCTCTGTCAGCGACATACCTGATGGAGGTACGGAGCTGTCAAGCAGCAGCTCAGCTAATGCAGCTAGCTGCATTCAGATTCGGGTATTTGTCATTTTAACTCAATGGCAAGGAGACCTAAAGCACAGAATGTGTTTGTTTGAGTGTAAATATTATCTGGTTGACATTTTTCCTCTGGGGAGCGCTCGGTTGTGATAAATCTGGAGTTGACATTAGCTAGCTGCTAAGGGAAAGCTAACCTTAGTGCTTTTCGGTTGGGAAATCCACGCGTTTGTTGGATTTCATGTGATCTTAGGCATCATCTAAATAAAGCTCGCACTTAGTCAACTCTGTCTTA